TCTACATAGTGAGTTCCAGGACAGCTGGGGCTACAGGGAGACCCTGTCTCAAAAAGACAAAAAAAATTTAAAAGTTAACTTTAAATTGCTGTTTAATTTTTAAAAATTTTTTTTTAAATTTTTCTATTTGAGACAGGTCTCCCTGTAGCTCCAGCTGGCCTGGAACTCTCTATGTAGATCAGGTTGACTTTGAACTCACAGAGATCCGCCTGCCTCTGCCTCCCGAGTGCTGGGACTAAAGGTGTACGTCACCACCTCTGGCTAGTTTCGCTGTTAACTTTAAATTGCTGTTTAATTTTTAAAAATTTTTTTTTAAATTTTTCTATTTGAGACAGGTCTCCCTGTAGCTCCAGCTGGCCTGGAACTCTCTATGTAGATCAGGTTGACTTTGAACTCACAGAGATCCGCCTGCCTCTGCCTCCCGAGTGCTGGGACTAAAGGTGTAAGTCACCACACCTGGCTAGTTTAGCTATTTTCTGACCCTTCATTAAGCATAAAGTGTAAGCTTTACACTTGTGCTTTTGTGTGTATATATGACAGATAAAATAGAGCATATCAACAGGCATATGGTCTATCTGTAGCACCACAATCTGATGGGGACAGAACAACTACAGGAACAAAAGGACTAGAAAAACTAAGAAGTAGAATAATGGAAACAAGTGGAGAAATGACAGTCCAAGATATGAACCAGCGTGGCACATGTAAAGTACTAAAACAGAGAGAACAGAGAAACACTTCAGGATACTGGGATGGTCGAGATTATTCTGGAGAACTCAAAGAAACAAAGGCAAAGACAAATCAAACTGAAAAGTCTCTGCGCAGCAAAGGAAATAACAACCCAGTGAAAAGACAACCTACTGGGTAAAGAAATTACTCAAAACCAAACAGCGAACAAGAGGCTGATAATCAGAATATTTCAAAAAGTTAACGCCCCAAATCCAGTAGCCTGACTTAAAAATGGGTAACAGACATAAATATTTCTCAAAGACATGCACCTGCAAAATGATCTGCACAAGACTGGGCCCTTTGGCTTCCACCATAGACTAGGAGGAGGGGCTCAAGAGTCCACTCCCTGAGCATCTAGATGCACTTAAGGTTGCTGGAAGAAAAGACATTTTCTTCAGTGGCTGCTGGTACGTTACCCACAAAAGCAAGGGGTGAGGAGCTAGCAGGGAAGAGGAAGAGGGTAAAGGAGAGAGTATGCTATAGAAATATTACATACACGCGTGAAAATGCCATAATGAAGTCATTATGTATAATTAATATATGCAAATAATTTCAAAAGATGTACAAATGGTCCAGTATATGAAAAAATGCTTAATATCACGAATCATTGATAAACACAAATCAAAATCACATGGACTCCAGTAAGAAAGGCTAAAATAAAAAAGTGCCAGAGAGGAAGCAGGTAAGAGCTCTGTACAGCACTGACGGGAATAGATAATGGTATAGTCACTAGGGACAACACGGACGGTGCCAAAAAAACAGAAAATAGAGCTACCACAGGACCAGTACTTCCAGCACTACACACACACACCAAGGCAATGAAATCAGTGTGCTGAAGAAATAACTGCATGCCTGTTTGTTATAACACTGCTCACAACAGCCAAGAAATGCAAGGTGGGTACAGAGGCAGGAGGACTGCTGCACATTCGAGGTGTGTCTCAAACCTCCCTCTCCAAGGTGAGAGGAAGGAAGGAAGGAAGGGTAGACCTTGTGTTACCTGAGCAACATCTTCAAGTTTATTCCACTTGATTGACAGGAGTAATTTTGGTAGTGACTGTGGGAAATTTTCTCTGCAGTCTTGTCGCAAAGTCCAAATAAGGTCCATTTCGTTCTCACACAGCTGAGACAAGGGATCCCGGTCCAGGATTTCTTTCAGTACAGCAAGAAACTTTTTTCCACCTCGACTCTTAAGAAAGTGAAATATTCATTATAGAATTGTGCAAACCATGGCAAACTTTCAGGAAATATATATTCAACAAATTTATGAATTTTACTATATGAAATACAAAATTACACACAAAGATTAATTACAGTAGACCCTTTAAAATTTTTTTCACCATTCAGTATTAGTTTATGAGCTAAGAATAAAGAACAGTTCTCAAAGCAGTCCTGAGAAAGAAAAAGGTTTTTTTTTTTTTTTTTACACAAGCAAACACAAGGTGGCACTATTGCTTTTGTGTTAAAAACCTGACCCATCATTTTCCTTTTAAAAATAATTTCTGTGGCCAGTCATGGTGGCACACACCTTTAATCCCAGCATTCGGGAGGCAGATGCAGGCAGATCTCTGTGAATTTGAGGCCAGCCCAGTCTACATAGCAAGTTCCAGGCCAGCTGGGGCTACAGGGAGACCCTGTCTCAAAAAGACAAAAAATAGTAACAGGGGCTGGAGAGATGGCTCAGCGGTTAAGAATATTGGCTGTTCTTGCAGAAGACCTGGGTTCGAACCCCAGCACCCACATGGCCACTAACAACTGTCTGTAACTCCAGTTCCAGGGGATCCGACAGCCTCTTCTGTCTTCTGTGGGCATTACACGACATGGGTGCACTTACCTACATGCAGGCAATACATGCATACACATAAAATAAAAATAAATAAAATATTTTTAGAAAATAATAATTTGTGTTTGTCTGTCTCTCCCCATGTGTGTGGTCTGTCTGCCTGCCTGCCTGCCTGCCTGCCTGCCAATACACACATCATGATACGCTACCATGTAAGTCCTAGGGATTGAATTCAGGTTGACAGGCTTGGCAGCAAGCACCTTTACCAGAAGAGTTATTACACTGACTCCTGATTTCTATAAAGGAAAAAATCCTAAGATTACATAAACACATGAGGTGTAAAATAAAAATATAAACAGACCTTTTTGGCTTGTGTCCTGGCTTAAGGGCACAAAATTTCAGTAAATTAACTCCAGCCATGCATGGTGGCACTTGCCTTTAACCCAGGCATTTGGGAGCTAGAGCCAGCCAGAGCGCTGGCTGTTCTTGCAACACCCACATGGTGGCTAACAACCATCCAAAACTCCAGTTCTGAGGGACCCAACGCCCTCTTCTGAAATCTGAGGGCACTGCACAACACAGGTGCACCTACCTACTTACATGCAGGTAATATACTCATACACATAAATTTTTTTTTATTAAATAAAATATATTTAACCCCAACATTTGGGAGACAGAGGCTGGAGGATCTCTGTGAGTTTGAGGCCAGCCTAGCCTGAATAAAAAATTCTAGGCCAGCTGTGGAAATCCTATCTGAAAATCAAAAGACCGTCTCAAAAATCTAAAAATAAAATGTATATTGGAATTTTTCCAAGATTAAATACTGTTATTTGTTAGCGTAACAGTACCCATGACTGCTGCAAACCTAGTGCTAGCTTTTATTGTATATATACTACAATATTAGTATTCTAAATACACTGGGTCTAGGACCTGGAGAGGTGTCTCAGAGGTAAGAACACATACTGCTCTTGCAGACAGAGGGCCTGAGTTCAGTTCCCAGAATCCATGTCAAGCAGCCTACAACTCTGTGTAACTAACTCCAAGTCCCAAAGGATCTGATGCCTCTGGCTTCCTCAGTCACCTGCACTCATGTGTACATACCCACCCACAGACACAGACACACAAAGACAAACACACACACTTAAAAATAAATCTGGTTGGTCCTAGTGGCACACACGGCTAATTCCAGCACTCAGGAGGCAAAGGCAGGCAGATCTCTGTGAGATCAAGACAAGCCTGGTCTACATAGTGATTTCCAGGCCAGCTGAGGCTATAGGGAGACCCTGTCTCAAAAATTATTAATTAAATAGCTATTAAAAAAAAAACCCCACAAAAACGTCAACCTGATAACAAGGAAAGAGAATATTAGATTGGGTTTCGATAGAGTCCAATCTTGTTTGTTGTTTTGAGATCTTTTTTGCTGTTGTTGGCCTTATTGACATAGGGTCTCCCTATACTGGGGCTGGTCTGGAATTCACTATATAGATCAGGCTGGCCTTGAACTCACAGAGATCTGCCTGTCTCTACCTCCTGAGTGCTGGGACTAAATGCATGCGCCACCAAACCCAAGTTGTTTTTGAATTTTTTTGAGACAGAGCCTCATGTGGCCCAGGCTGCCCTGGAACTTACTATGCAGCCAAGGATGACCTGATTTTTCTGCCTCTACCTCCCAAGAGCTGGGAATGTAGGCATCCACCATGCCTGGTCTCAATAGCCTTAAAACAAGAAAGTATGGCATGCACCTGTACTCCTAACACATGGGGGAGGTGAAGCAGGAGGACTGAGAACTCAAGGCCAGTCTGGAGTATACAGTAAGACTCTGTCTTGAGGGAAAAAAAAAAATCATTTTCCTTTACTTTTCCCTTGTTAAGATCTCTTAATTTTGGCCAAGAACATGGCAGCCCCACAAAAGATGATGTTTTCCAGGCTCACTTACGGTTTGGTCATATGTCCAGGATCTGGCCAATGAGATGTGAGCAAAATAATATATATTAACTACATTTTAAAATATATTTTATTTATTATTTTTATTTTATGTGTATGAGTATATTGTCTGCATGTATGTGAGTGTACCTGTGTCATGCAATGCCACAGAAGTCAGAAGAGGGTGTCGGATTCCCTTGGAACTGGAGTTAAGGACGGTTCATAGCTGCCATGTGGGTGCTGGGAATCAAACCGGGGTCCTCTGCAAGAGCCGTTGGTGCTCTTAACTGCTGAGCCATCTCTCCAGGCCCCATGAACTACACTTTAAACTTGGCAGTTTTCCAGGGTGGTAGACACTGAGGTCTGGGGCACTGCAAAACTTGTCTGTATTATATCTGCTTTGCTACTGAGAAGAATACTGCCTCCGTACTTAACTAAATGCTAATTCACTAAGGTAGTATTCTAAATCTATGAGGTACAATAGCACCTACTACAAACAACTAAACCTGTATGTGTATCAGAAAGGGACTTACCACCTGAGCACAAGTCATTTAACCAACACTAGGATGGCATACCTACACTCACGGGCTGTTTTGCATGAGTTATGGTCTCCCTTAAGTTCATTACAGTAAATGAGAAGAAGACACCTACTAAGGAACACAGCTCTGTAGTAAGAAAGGCCAGAGAAAGCGTTGGATACTTACTGATACATTGGCGCTATCACTGCTCGCAATCTCGGCTGCTTTTTCAATAATCTATTTAAAAAAAAAAAAAGTTAAAATTTTGCTCTGATATTTGAAGAATGTTGAGTGCTAACTACTATAAGAGACTATATATGTTTGGATTTCTATTCTTTATAATGGAAACATGAACTTTAAAAAAAAAGGTGCTTCCCAAAGTGCTTCAAACCCTTGACAACAGAGAAACAATGGTGTTACTGTGAGACTACAGCATCTAGGGCCCGCAGACTATTTATAGGTGAAATAAACAGTGACCTGCTCAGGAATGTCAGGCTTGTTCTGAAAAAAAAGAATTCTGCTTAAAAAAGTACAAATGTTTGGGCTGAAGAGATGGTTTAGTGGTTAAAATCTCTGGCTGCTCTTGTAGAGGCTGCTAACACCTGTAATTTCAGTTCTAGGAGAGCCCCTGCCCTCTTCTGGCCTCCACAGGTACTGCACACATGTAGTACAATGTCATACATGGAGGCAATACTTATACACATAAAAAAACTTTTAAAGTACAAATGTTAAGAGTTTCTAAAGTAGAATGAGCTTTATCATTGTTTGCTTGGTTTTTCTCAATCAGTAGTTATCAAGGGCTGAGGTGTAGCCCATGGGTAAAGCAATAATCATAAGACTGGCTTGTAAAACAAACGTGATTACAGGGGCAGTACACTAGATGAAGAGAACAGAACCTTGGGAACTTTCACCTTTTACATCTGTATTATTTATTTTGTGATAACCATAAATAACTCATAGAACTAAATGAAAACTAAAGTCTACACCAGGCCTTGTGGTACAGGTCTACAATCCCAGCAGGGAGCTGAAGCAGAAGAACTGCAAGTTCAATGTCTGCTAAGCAACTTAGCAAGACTTTGCCTCAAAATAAAAAACAAAAAGGGCTGGGGCTACAGGCCCATGATGGAGGACCTACTTAGTAGCCAGCATTCATGAGGCCTAGAGTTCAATTCTCCAGCACCCATCCTTGGCCCCTCCCCAAAACTTCTGTAAGTATGGTGGCTCATGCCTACAATCTTAACACTCAGGAGGCTCAGAGGAAAATAGAGACAATAGTTATGGACAATAGCACTAGTAGTGAAATAATAAATATAAAGAAACCTGACTTCTCTTAAAATATTAGACATAAAAAAATTTGTGTGTGTGTGTGTATATATGTGTGTGTACATGTGTGTGAGTTATTTGGTGTTAGATTTGTAAAAATTCCTTTAAAATCATCTGATTCCCAAATAAAATATAACAGATTACTGAACATATACCATAACTGTTAATAGTCATTAAAGTCACTTTGTTTAAGAAGCACACAATTTAATTTGGTTTTAAACTAGCAGTCAGAATAACATTTTAACCTTATTTTGAAATTCATTTACCTTGCAGTGGTGGGGATTGAAGCCAGGGCCCTACACATGCTGGGCAAGTGAGTATTTTACCACTGTGCTACACCCTCAGCTCTTCCTCTACTCTTCATGGTTTTGAGCGGCACATTACATAGCCCAGACTGGCTTGGAACTCATGATCCTCCTGTCAGTGTTACCAACGCTAGGGAATGTAGACATAAGGCACCATGCTACACAGGAAACATTGTTATAAGAACTTACAATGGTAAGTTAGTTCTTGGGTGGATAGCATTCAGTTAAAGAGGGAGAAAGAGGAACTAGAGAGATGGCTCAGAAATTAAGAGCACTGGCTACTCTTGCAGAGGACCTGGGTTTGATTCCCAGCACCCACATGGTGGCTAACAACTGTCCATAACTCCAGTTCCAGGGGAATCAAATGCTCTCTCATAACTCTAGTTCCAGGGGAATCTGATGCTCTCTTCTGACCTCTGTGGGTACTGCGTGACATGGGTGCATTATATACATGTGGGCAACACACTTATACACATAAAATAAAAATAATAGCTGGGTGTGGTGGCACACTTCTTTAGTCCCAGGAGGCAGAGGCAGGCAGATCTCTGTGAGTTCAAAGCCAGCCTGGTCTACATAGCAAGTTCCAGGCCAGCTGGGGCTACAGGGAGACCCTGTCTCAAAAGGAAAAATAAAAATAATAAATGAAATATTTTTTTAAAAGAGACATTGAATTGCATAAATTGAATATATATCACACTCAAAAAATTCTCCTCTAGGACTAGGAATGTAGCTCAGTGACACAAGTTCTCTAAGTTCCAGTCCCAGTACCTCCCCACACCCCACCTAAGAGACTCCTAAGTCTCTTCTATATAGGTCTGGTAGTACTAAATGTTAAACTGCAACTAAGTTTGTAAGTGGAATAGTTTAACTGTTGTTTAGTACAGTAACAATACTTAAAGGTAGCCTTTTCTCATTTAGATCAAGAAATTTCCTGTTCATTTTTGAGAATTTGTCCAAAGATTTTTGTATTAAAATCAATACCAAGACCAAACTTGAAAATAAAACAAATTAGGAAGGGGCTGGGGATACAGTTCAGTGGTTGAGGGCTTGCCTCAAGGCCCTGGGTTCAATCTCTAGTAAAGGGAGGGAGTCAAGGGAGGGGAGTATATGACATCTTAGCTCTCCTGGCATATATATGATCATAGTCCTCTTTCAGCCACCACCAAATAATCTCATCACCAAGCCATACAGTTTATATGCTAAGAATGTATCTGGAAAAAGAAGTCCTCATTACAGATGTTACAAAACTATTACCAAAGTTTTTGCCAAGCATGGTGACTCACACCTGTAATCTACTCAGAAGGTAGAGGAGGAAGATGGCCACAAGTTCAAGGCCCGTCTGAACTACCTAGTGAATTCCAGGTGAGCCTGGCTACAGAATGAGCCACTATCTCACGGCCCCAAAGTCCTAACAGTGGTAATACCAGCACAAATAATTTCTTAACTGTATCTTTAATCTCTGAATTAATATGCTAGCATGCTGTCACACAACATTTTATATATTGAGTTATATGTAAATACAATTTCCTCTTTACAAATGAGGAACCTGAACTCCAGAGACAGACACCATGGTTCATTTGGCCAGTGATGAGCCAAGAGTGACAGAGCTTGAGGGTACTCTATTCCACAGCTTTTTCATTTGATCAAGTTGTCAATACATGCAGAATTTTGAAAGAGAATTAGCCATGTTGGGCTTAACTAAACATACATATCTAGAAATAACTCCATTTCATGCATAGGGAACCTTTAAGTAACTAGCTTACCTTATCGAAGGGAGGGTAATAGTAAGGTTTTTTATTGTCTGGAAACTTAATATGCAAAGCGGTGGCATTTTCAGTATACGGATTCGTCTGAACCGTTCCCATTGGATTCAACATCTCTTCAAGCTCATCTAAATATGTAAAGAATTTAGATTCTTAAGAAAATCAAAAATAACACCAAACCTGGAATTAAGTTCCTTCCATGAAAATATCCTAAAAATTGCTGTATCTAAGAAAATTCAGCAAACAATTTTATCAGTAAGTCTGTAGACATCTGCAAAGTAGTTACCTTGAACATCAGAGTAATGTTAACTAAACAAATGATTTTACTATCCTCCCATTTTAATGAATGTGCATTCCACTAGTTAGTATAACCATGAATAATGTAGGTTATTATAAAGTAGATACTGTTACTTAAGGAGGCTTTCTTGGGAAAAAAGATAAACAACTATAAAAATAAAATGCTTAAAGAATACAGTCATTGAAATAAAAACTACACTTTATGTTAGTATTAAAATAGTCTGGGTAAATCAGTTTTAGAATAATAAAGATGGTTCATTTACAGACTAGTCAACAGCGCAAATGGCGGTCACACTTTACATTAAAGATGCTTCCAGAATGTAGCTCTTACCAGGAAATGAAGACCAGCTGTGCAGTATTACATCTCCAGACCTCAACTGTCCTTTGAAGTCAAAGACCATGGTATTTACCCATGCTACAGGATAGTGCTGTTGAAAAAGACATCATTATATAAATACACCCAGAATGACCTTCAGGGTGTGAGGATGCTCATTGCTCCTCATTTCAATGTGAGTACTAAGAATTTCTAAAGTTCTAGGTAACTGCCAAAACATCACCCCAAATGAAAACAAGATATAGATGGAAAATTTTTTCAGTATCTCTATAACTGTCAAGAAAAATTCCACAGGACAAATGATATAAAAACAGAAAATCTGTTAACGACTTCTGAAAATGAGAAGAATCTTTAATGATTAAAACAACATGGGTGGGCACCCTCCGCCTCGTCCACCACCGCTGCCTCCTTCTTCTGCAGCTCCGGGTGCTGCTTGTGCACTCCTCAGTGCGGACCTGGTCAGGTCTTTTGTGAAGCGGTAGCTGAAGAGACTCCGGGGCTCACCATGGCTGACAAAAAACCCAAGGAAGGAGTCAAGACTGAGAACAACGACCATATTAATTTGAAGGTGGAGGGGCAGGATGGTTCTGTGGTGCAGTTTAAGATTAAGAGGCACACACCACTTAGTAAACTAATGAAAGCCTATTGTGAACGACAGGGTTTGTCAATGAGGCAGATCAGATTCCGATTTGATGGGAGGCCAATCAATGAAACAGACACGCCCACACAGTTGGAAATGGAGGGCGAAGATACAATTGATGTGTTCCAGCAGCAGACAGGCGGTGTCCACTAAAAGGGAACCTGCTTCTTTACTCCAATCAATGAAACAGGCACGCCTGCACAGTTGGAAATGGAGGGCGAAGATACAATTGATGTGTTCCAGCAGCAGACAGGCGGTGTCTACTGAAAGGGAACCTGCTACTTTACTCCAGAATTTTGTTATAGACAAAGAATACATTCTTAATTAGAAAGCCACAATTTGGTTCCACCACATCCTGACTACTGCAGTATAGTTTTCTCTATTCTTTCGTTTCCCTGTCCCCATTCCTTTCTTGTACATAAAAGTAACTGGTGTATGTGCACAAGCATATTGCGCTTTCTTCTTTTTGATCTAAATGGCTGGTGTTGTGTTTGGGTTGACATCAGATGGAGATGGTGTGGGAACGCACTGGTTCTGTGAAAACCTCCCCTTCTCCATTAGTGGCATGCTCTCTCAGCTCTTACCTTTACAGCCCAGTAAGTTATTTTGCTCCCACTGTTTTAACAAAAAAAAAACCCCACAAAAATCCTTGCATACCTTGTTTGATTGGAGAATTTTAATGTTTTTCATTTATCATTGTAAAACCAAGGACAATTTTATAACTTTTTTGTACGTAGCTGTTACATGTAGGGCAATCTGTCTTTAAGTAGGGGTAAATGATTCTTGAAAGAAAATGAATCCTAGATAGTTTTCCCTTTAAGTCAAGCGTCTTGTTTAAAATGAAAAAAAAAAAAAAAAAACAACATGGGTGATGTAGTAAATCTTAATGTGGAGGAAGCAATGTCTTTAGATATGGTGGGATTTACCTATATTGCTAAAATGGAGGAACTGATGCCAGAAGTGATGGCTTGCTCTTGTAATCCCAACCTTCTGGAATTTAAGGCAGGTGGACTATTATGAGTTTGAGGCTAGCCTAGGCTACATACTAAGTTAGAGACTAGCCTAGGCCACAGAATGAGAGTCTGTATCAAAAGGATAAAAAGAGTTGGGCATGGTAGCTCATGCCTTATAATCTCAGCATTCAAGAGGCAGAAGCAGGTGGATTTCTGTAAGATCAAGGCCTGCGGTCTACATAGTGAGTACTAGGTCAGCTGGGGCTACATAGTGAGACCGTGTCTCAAACCTCCCCCCACAAAACAAAACAAAACAATAAACAAAAAACAGAAAAAAAAACCTCCCAAAAGGTAGATTAATAAAATAAAAAGAGGCACTAAGCTGGTAGGACTTTTATGGAAACATTTCAACAATGTGCCAAAAAATTTTGAAGGACTAGGGATTTAGTTCAGAGTGCTTGCCTAGCATGCTGGATATGTCCTGGGTTTGATTCCCAGCACTACATAAAACTGGATATGGTAGCACACACCTGTAATCCCAGCACTTGGGAGGTAGAGGCAGGAGAATGAAGAGTTCAAAGTCACCCTCAGCTACATACTGAGTTTGAGGCCAGACTAGGATATACAAGGGCCTATCTTTAAGGGTCATAAATACTCAAACACTTTGAGGTGAGTTCTATTATGAGGACAGGAAAAAACACTAAGGAATGAACTCTTCTATGACATTTTTAGACATTAAAATTTCTTTTTAGAAGACTATATCATAGTAAGCAGAGAAGTGCTTATGTTCCCAGATCCTTCTTTCTTCCTGTCTTTCATTTTTTGTTGTACACCAGGCTGGTCTCAAACACACCATGCGAGCAATGATGACAATGAATTTCTACAAGTTGGGAGGCAAAGACTGGCAGATCAGGAGTTCAAGATCATCTGCAGCTATATAACAAGTTTGAGGCCAGCCCAGGCCATGTGAGACCGTATCTCAAAGAGAGAAAGAGGAGAAAGGGGAAGGGAGGAAAGAGGTAGAGGAGAAGGAGTAGTAACAGTAGCAGTAATCTGAAATGGAGGGTCCACAGTTGTAGGTCAGTGGTAGAGCCTAGCACACATAAGGGCCTGGGTTCAATCCCTAGCACTGGAAACACAAATCAAACAAAATTATTAAGGATAGGTCTGGTGGTACACACTTTTACTCCTAGACAGTGGCAAGAGGATTCTAAGTTCAAGGCCAACCTACACTAGTGATTTCAAAGGCAGCCTGAACAACTCAGCAAGACCCTGTATTTATTATTCATTCATTCATTCATTCATTCATTCATTCATTCATTTATATTTTGGTCTTTTTGAGACAGGGTCTCCCTGTAGCCCAGCTGTCCTGGAACTCACTATGTAGACCAGGCTGGCCTTGAACTCACAGAGATCCGCCTGCCTCTGTCTCCCAAGTGCTGGGGCTAAAGGCATGCACCACCATGCCTAGCTAAGACCCTATCTTTAAAATAAAAAATGTGATATATGGGCGTGGTGCCACATGCCTTTAATCCCAGGACTCAGGATGCAGAGGCGGATGGATCTCTGTGAGATCTAGGCCAGTCTGGTCTACAGAGCAAGTTCAAGGACAGCAGGGGCTATAGGGAGACCCTGCCTCAAAAAACGAAACCTGAATTTTCAAATGTATCTAGTACCCAGAATTTTCGTTAAGGATCTATGAACTAGCAATTTTAAAAAACTCTTCATTTTCCATGTGCAGTGGCTCTAATCCCAGCACACTGAGACTGAAGCAGGAAGATCACAATGAGTTCAAGGTCAGCCTGAGCTACACAGTGATTTCTGGACCACCATAGGTTTTGTGCACCTCTAAAACAGTTATATCATGAAATTTCTTCAAATAAATTTGTCAAAAGAACATAAGTAAGACACAGACATGGAAACTTAGCATTTTCTTGAAGTCAGGATCAAAGCTACAGGAACTAATTTAACTAATATTATTCAATTATTTCAATCAGTCTTAAAATCAGCCATTATATAATTTTCAGAAATTAGTATACAATTACCACTTTTCCAGCTTTCCTGATGGTCTGATATTTAGAAGGATTAATAGTTTTAGTTGACTTCTTTGTTTTTACTTTATCCAAAACTGCATAAACAGCAAAACATAATCGAGCCATTCTTGGTAAGTCACAGATATTAATATCAAACTCCAGTGGTTCATTCCAAATATGATCATTTTTTCCTGATATCTCTGAGCTTACAATGGTTTTACACAGGAGCTCAGTTCCATGAAAAAGACCAGCCCTGACATGAACCTGTAAGAGGGAGAAGAAAACAAAAATCGTGAGTACTGTACAACAGAACCACTGGCAGAATGTAGAGACATAACACTGGGAGAAGCAGCAACCAGCACTTAGAAAGCCTGTCTGTATACAGGCCATGAGACTATAATCCATCATTCTACACTCACTACACTACGTTTAGTTTAACCAGTGTTTCGCTTAAAAAGTAGATTAGCTGCAAAATTAAATGGGATGGGGGGATGCCTCAGAGGGTAAAAGTGCTCACCACTAAGTCTGATGGTCTGAGTTTGATTCCCTGGATTCCACATGGTGGAAGAGAGAACTGACTGACTGCTGCAGCTGCCCTCTGACCTCCACACACACAGTGGCACATGACCCAAATAAATTAAATAAACAGTAAGCAAATAAATAAATAAATTCTCCTCAATAATTGATGATGGGGAAAATACTTGCCTGTACAATCACTGAGTACCTGAACCCAATCCTTTGCACACATGTAAAAAGCCAGGCATGATGGTGTATGCCTGTAATTGCAGTGCTGGGGAGGCAGCAACAGACACTGACGCATCTTGGCAAGTCTATCTAGCCTAACTGGTTAACCCTAGGTTCCTGTGAGAAATTTTACTGTTACACACACACACACACACACACACACACCCCGACATGGGGCTCTTGAGATGGCTCAGTGGTAAAAGTGCTTGCTGCTAAGCCTAGCAACCTGAATTTGATCACTGGGACCCACATTGTAGAAAGAAAGAATCATCTTCCACCAATTGCTCTGACTTCCACAGCACACTGTGGCACACTTTTGTGACACAAATAACATAAAATGTAAAATAAATAAGCAAATAAATAAATACATAAAAACAAAAAAATCAAAAGAAGACTCCTGAGGAATAACCACCTGAGATTTTTAGCCCTGGCGCACTCCCCGATCCCCCCCTACATAAATAATTTGTTATTTTGTGTTATTATGTATCTATTTTTTGCTTTTTGAGACAGGGTCTCCCTGTAGCCCCAGCTGGTCTGGAATTTGCTATGTAGACTAGGATGTAGGCCTCTATCTCACAGAGATTCACCCGCCTCTGCCTCCTGAGTGCTGAGGTAAAGGTATGCATCACCATACCTGGCAAGATAATGACCTCTTTATTAAAGATGTGCAACACCACACCCAGCATTCTACCTTATTTTTTGAGGCAGGGTCTCTCTCTAAACCTGGAACTGTTTCAGCTCTGCTGGATGACCAATGAGCTCCAGGGATCTACCTGTCTCTACCTCCCCATAAGTGCTGGAGTTACAAATGCTCACCTCCAGGCCTGGCTTTTATACATGGATGCTGGGGATCTGAATTCAGGTCCTCATACTACAAAGCAGAAACTTTACTGATTGAGCCATTTACCTGGTCCACTTGTAAACTTTTTTTATTATTTATTTATTGATTGACTGATAATTGATCGTCTTTTTCAGACAGGGTCTCCCTGCAGCCGCAGCTGGCACAGAACTCATTATGTAGACCAGGGTGGCTTTGAACTCACAGAGATCCACCTACCTCTGCCTCCCAAGTGGTAAACATTTTTTTAAAGTTACAACCTAACTAGGTCCAATATAAAAGTGAATAGCAATTGGGTGTGGTAGAATATGCCTGTTTCCATGGGAAAACTTACTTGACTTCATTAAGGCCTCTATTTCAACAACTAACAGCTATTCCTCCATTTCTCCATCAGTTATTCTGCCTTCACTCTGACCACAACTCTCCAAGTAAATCTCTCTTCTCCTCTGTCACTCTCATCTGAAGTCCATGTCCTGGATAAACCTAATTATCAGCTGTTCTGTGACATAATTCTCTGGGCAGAGTATTACAATGACTGACCAATTTTAAATGTAGTTATTCACCACATTACCTTCCTTCACTCATCGAAAATATTACTGCCATTTACTCTTTTGAGATGAGCCTAACATACATTCAATATAACCAAAAAAAAGGCGGGGGGGCAGCGGCAAGGTCTCATTATGTAGCCTGGCTGGCCTGGAACTCACTACTAAGCCAGGCTGGCTTCAAAGTCTCAGAATTTTGACTGCCTCTGCATCCTGAGTAGAGAGATTAAAGGCATGCTCCATCATGCCTGGCACAACTAGAAATGTTTGTAAAGCCCTGTTTAAGCTGTATATCCTATTACTTGAACATAATTATTTTGACAGAAGATGCTTCTGTAATTTACTCAATTTAGAAGTTATCAAATATAGGTATGAAACATTTCATTAGTGTTTATATCACTATTTACTAATAAGACAGTCAGAAGATCAAATTATGTGCTTTGGCCTCCATGGGCACTACATACATATGGTACACTTACATGCTGGCAAAACACTCATACAAATAAAATAAAGATAAATCTTTTTTAAAAAAATCAGATTCTGAACTTTAACAGAGACACACCACTGTAACTAAAGAATACAGTCATGTGAGGGAGTGGCAGATTGAGCATGGGGTATATGTTGGGGTGAACTAGCAGAGATTGAAGAATACTTTTCTACCTGAAAATATGTTTTCATAGCCACCTGACCACACCCCTTATCTCCATAAAAAGCAGGGAACAGTGGGTATAGTGGCACTGTTTCATTATAACCCCTTTTTAGGAACACCATACCTACAAGATGACTTTAACTCTATCCTATGCTAAGTATTTTTTTTTAAGATTTATGTGTCTGTGTGAGTGTATGCCACATGTGCAGGTGCCCACAGAGGCCAGAAAAGGGTGTGATCCCCTGGAGCTGGAGTTACAGGTGAGCTGGCTGACGGGGGTGTTGGGAACTGAACTTGTGCTCTCCCCAAGAAGAGCAAGTGTCCTTAACTACTGAGTCACTTCTCTAGTCCCTCTCAGTGTATCTTTATGTCCTATTTCCTTCTCTCCCTCCCTCTCATATTATGTTTTCTGAGCTCCTGATCCCCCAGCCTCCTTCCAAGGAGGCATGCTCTACGATGTCCAGCTATCTTGCCTATTAAATAAGCAGAACAAAGTGTCCTCTGCCTAATCCTACCCTAAACCCAGTTTTAGGCAAAGATAGATGCACGAAGAATTTTTTGATATGCATTTGGGAAATTCAAGTATTACTAGGCGAATAAAAAAAATAAACTACCATATGGGTAAGTATAACACTTTCAATCAATCTACTTTAAATCTACCCAGTTAAAGACATTGCAGTGAAAAATACATAAACCATCGCTTTAACCCACCACATTGTTGCTGTCAAGAGGATGTTGCTTAATGTATGTCCTTCATGACGATTCACTAAACATTCCTTTTCCAAATGATAGTATCATCAACTACAAACTCATTAATACCTAGTTTGCTTTTATTGTATGGCATTCTGAATAGCGTAGCTGTTTAAGTCTTCCTCTTGCTTTGTCTGATGACTGTATAGCAGATGGCCAAATATGTGGCCCACAAACAACTAATTGAATACAAATATAATTTTGGTGGGACAAGATCTCATGTAGCCAAGGCTGGTCTTGATCCTAATCTTCATGCCTCTACCAGTCAAGTGACTGGTTTAAAAGTATGCACCATCGTACCCAGTATATACAGTGCTGGGGGTTAAACCCAGAGCTTTGCACATGCTAAGCAAACACTCTACCATCTGATCTACATTCCCAGACCTACCAAGACTTTTTGTTGCTTGTCAATCAAATATCCTATGTTTCTAAAGCCAAAACTATACTATGTGTAGTACAGAAAAGAATATGTATGTGTCACTACAAATCATTTGTGAAATGTGATTAGACAAATCATAAATCATAAATAAGGCATATAAAATACATTTTGAATCTGCTATAGGGAAGGTTAGAAAATATGAATCTAGTACAAACATGGCATTTCTTAATCCTAGTAACCTTATAAATACTTGGATTTGTCACCTTTCACAAACAGATTTTAAATATAATACAGTCAGAAAATTCTGTCTTAAAAAATGAACACCTTGCAAGGTTTTGGTGATAAAGACAAGCTATTCATAATAAATTGTTGAACTTTAAAATGCTGGCATCTTTTATCGTTTGACAACCATTGAGAAATAAAAACAAACACCCATCATATACATACTGAATATTAGCTAATAATAGTTTAAAAATCAAAGCAAGAAATGCTAGTTTAGCTACACGCATAAACTTCTGCTAAAACTCAAGAGATATAGGGAGGTAGGTAGTGTTATGGATGATATGGCTTATAAAGTTCAAAACTCAAGTATAATGGGCTAGAAAAGTCCTAGAAGAACTGTAAATAGTCATAGAAGGTATAATCTGAGATAGAATAGCAATCAAAAACTAGTCTAACTATGGACTGGTAACAGTAAGTTAGGACCCTCCATATCTTAAAGAAACTTTCCAGGTGGAATAAAAAGTATTATTTGGTATTTAGCTGTGATTTATTTAACAGGAAGTCATTAAGATTATTTCTGCTTGAGAAATCTGCTAATTCACTAAAAAGGTTAAAGTTGATGGTCTATGAGAAATAAGTAGTAAAAATAATCTGTATTTACAATAAAATAATGTAAATTTTCTTCTCTGAATTTAGAATCCCTATGACTGTAATAAAGGTTTTGGTTTGGGAAAAATGTTAAGGAAAATCTATTTTCGCCTGGTGTGGTAGTACACACCTTTAGTCCCAGCACTCAGGAGGGAAAGGCAGGCGGATTTCTGTGAGTTCAAGGCCAGCCTGGTCTACAGAGGGAGCTCCAGGCCAGCTGGGACTACAGGGAGACCCAGTCTCAAAAAGACCAAAAACAAAAACAATCAAAAAGGAAAATCTATTTTCTAAATGTAACACATGGAACATCGTAAAAGCAACAACAACAACAACAACAACAACAAGCTGTCCTAGTCCCTATGTCTGAGATGCTTTCAGTATTTTGAAAAGTTAAGAATTTTAAAGTAGCATCATGCTTCATACAGTCACATGGTTTATTATCCAACTCTGGTAAACTTCTGAGATGCTTTTTCACAAGTCCTAGAACAT